CGCGTCCGTCAGCCCGTTGTGGGCAGGGCTGAAGACGAGGAGGCCGGGCTTACGCAGCTCGCTGTCAGTCAACAGGTGGCAGAGGGTCACATGGTCACACCTGAACACCTCAACCAGGTCAGCTGGGAACAGACCACGTTACCAAGAGATTTGAACACCTTCAGATCACTCAGAATATTATACCACTCTGAAAACAAGAACTCCAGATCATTTTAAAATCAGATGCTGATTGGCTTTATTGTCCCTTGTGTTACTGTTTGATCATGGATAAGAGCAGGTTTGATAAAGGTCATTTGGTATCACATAAGTACCATCAAAACTATAGGGAATTATAAACTGAATAAAAAAGACTTATAAACGTCTTCACAATAATCTGAACTATTGGCGAGTGCTTAGTAACTGGGATCTGAAAGGACGAGTCTCTTGATAATCAGTCATTATTTGCAGTACCTATATATACTTACATATAAATATACATATTGTGACGCTGCTGTGTTGATTACCCCAGATTCAGACAGAGATCCCCCCCCAGATGGACTCTGGTCTCGCCCCTCTTCCTCATTTCACAGTTTCTAAAGTTTCTATCCCGAAACACGAGGCTAGCTCCGAGGTAAGAGCGGCGTCATCGGGCAACACTAATCATCTGTAGAAATAAGAGGAAGTGGACTTCAATAATCAACCTGACCCTCAGTTAATCACCTGACTTCCTGTTGCCTGTCTCTGATTCTGGCTGTATCCCCTGGAGCTAACGAGCTAACGAGCTAAATATCTTAGGGTCAGGGATAGAGCATCTGATAGCATGCCGTACAGGTTGTTGTTCTAATATAACTCACAAGATAATGATGTAATGTGAGTAAAGCTACTGTAGTTAGCTGCACACCGTTAGCATCTCCTGTCAGAACAGCTGATCTGTTTTAGCTTTAACACTTTAAGAAAAACTCATTTGGTTTTCCCTGAAATGCTGACTTGCTGTAAACTGTAGTTAATAAAAGAATAAAGTGAACCCCCCCTGCTGTAGCTTTAATAAACTAACGTCCGTAGC